AAAAGATAATAAAAATTTTTAAAAAGCATAAAAAACACCTATGGGATTAAGTGTTTAAAAAAAAGGGAGGCTGGGGGAGTTTCCCTGAACAATGTCCCTTCTTTTGTCTGCTGCCATGTAAGATGTGCCTTTCACTTTCTGCCATGATTGTAAGTCTTCCCCAGCCATGTGGATGTAAGTCCATTATAAACCTCTTTTGTAAATTGCCCAGTGTCAGCCTTGTCTTTATCAGCATTGTGAAAACAGGCTAATACACAGATTTATAATTATTATTGTTTCTCAATTAATAATAAATATCCCCAGTACCTTAAAGCATATTGTATAAAATATTTGCACATATTTTTGAGAGTAGTAAATTATCCTTACGCCAGAAGTGATGGTATAGACTGTCCTTTTTTTTCCCCAATAATAGTCCAGTTCTTTGCAACAATGAATATCCTCCACTTTAATTAGAAAATTCTGTACCATTAATTGTTTTGGTTACTGAGAAATGCCAGATATAGGTGAAGGGGAAGAAGGCAGCAAATCACACTGCCATGTGTGTACCTCTGCAACAATCTTGCATGTTCTTCACATGTACCCCAAAACCTAAAATGTAATAAAAAAAATTATACCAAGACTTAGTGGCTTAAAGTAGCAATTATAGGGGTCAAAATTATAACAAATGTTACATTAGGCTCTTTTCCTTTCTTTTTGTGACATCAGGTGAGAAGGCTGACTGAAGCTAGATGGTGGACATTGAAGGTGGTTTACCAACCACTCAGTGGCTGGCAGGTTTGCATTGGTTACTAGCTCAGACATCACCTGAAAACTCGAAAGCATCTTCACTGGTGTATGTGGACTTCTCAGCACAGAGAGGCTGTTTCAACATACAGGAAAGTGTACCTTGCCATTCTCTTAAGTTCTGGGCCTCAAAACTGACAAAATTATAACTTCATTCATATTCTGTTATTCAAAGTAGCCATAAGATCCCACTCAAATTCAGAAGAAGAAAGCACAGGTTCAACATCTAATGTAAGAATATTAGTAATCTCCCCAGAGTCATAGTGATAATACAGTGATAAAAACAAAATTAATTTTCAATCAACCTGACTTCAAATAAAACAGTTGTGTTGCCAAATAGAAAAAATATTATTTAGCACATCTACTCTGCTCTCTCTACTCTCTAAATTAGATCACTGACATCAATCTATGGCAGTGCCCTTAAAATTTTTCTATTCTGCCCCCTTGGTGAACCTTCAAACAATTCTAAGACACATAAAAGTAGGAATTTCTAGGTTTAAGATACAAAAGAATCAATGGCTGTAAATAAAACCTGGTGAATATTAGAGAAACAATACCGTTGTCTCAATTCACTTAGTATCAACAACTAGATTCTGAGACTGAATAAACCACACTTTGGCTTCTTACAGAAATTTCAGTTGCGTCACTTAGTCATTTTAAAGCTATTTTCTATTTTTTTCTCTGCTTTAGGACAAAATATACAAATTTCATTATTTCTTATTCTACACAATTTATTCTTTCCATGTATTTTTTGAGTTTTGTAGTTTTTATTGCTGTTTGAGGTTTCTGTTTTATCAGAAAACCTTCAGTTAGAACAATAAGTAACTTTGTATCTATGACTAAGAGCAAATTGCTGTGTGTTATCAAAAGTGAACATGCATTTCCCATTGCTATGGATGCATAACATATTCGAAGTAGCTGTATCCATATCATGTATAAATGTACATATTGTGTGTATCTGATTATGAAAGTTCATAAGATGAATCTAAAATTTATATATAAATGAAAGTTAGGGAAATAGCCAAAACAAGTATAAAGAAAAATGCCCACTGTATATTAATTTATAATTAATACACAGATACTGAATTAACCTAAGTGCTAAGGCCCAAGAATACACAATTTAATCAATGAAAGAAATTCAGGATTCCAAAAGGAGACTTATATAAAATGGATCTTCATGTACTGAAAAGTTAGCCCTTTAAAATATATAGTCTTTTAAAGTCATAGTGTTCAATTAAATCTATAGCTATATAAAAAAATAAATTATAAATGCTACCAACAACCATACGACAAACCAATTCTGAATAGATTGTAAATTTTAAAATAGAAGAAAAAATAATACAGCTTCTAGAAATAGCAGGAGAAAAAGCATCAGGGTCTTGAAATAGTCAATAATGTCTTAAATAGGACACAGAACATGACAAATAATGGAAGCACTATAGATATATTGACCTGAATTAAAAATAAGAGTTACTAGTATTTAAAAAACATAATTGTATTAGTTTTTTATTATTATATGATAAATTACTAAGAACCTTATGACTTAACAAAATGCATATTTATAATCTCTGTGGATGAGACGTTCAGGCATAGTTTAACTGCTGTGCTCAGCGACTCACAAAGCTGAAATCAATATATTAGCTGGGCTGCTGGCACATGAAGAAGTATGAAGAATCCACTTACAAGCTCATTCAGATTGTTGTCAAAATTAATTCTTTTTACCACATGACTGAGAGCTCTGGCCTTTTTCTAGATAACTCATAGAAACTTCTCTCAATTCACAAAAGCCACCTACTGTTCTTTGCATCGTGGACTTCTTTAACATGGCTGCTCACTTCATCAAGCTAATAATAATTTTTGATTCCACTTTAATCAAAGGATCTTACAAAACAACATAATCATAGGACAGAGATCTCAATTCTTTGCCATGTAATATGACCTAATCAAATAAGCAACATTTCTTCTGCTTTACTATTTTCAACCTGTTAAAAATAAGTTAGGGTTAGGATAATCCAAAGGCATGGACACCAGGAAGTTGAATAATCATTGGAAGTGACCTTAGTGTCTGTCCACTGAAACCACTGAGGAAGTAAAGGTACAACCCAGGAATGTTAGAAGACATTTGCAATTGTTATAATTTATAGTGAGTTTATTCTGAGATATGAAGAACCCCTATAAATGCATAATAAAAACAGAGGTGTATGAGTGTAATGGGCAAAAGACAACATCAGAGATGTCACAAATAATACAATTAAGTAGAATATATTAAAAGTTCTCACATATTAGTTCTTAAGAAGATAAAATTAATATCTCACTGAAAATACACTAGAATGGCTTAAAAAATGGTTGCACAGACATAAAATAATGGTAATATTGTAACTCTCCTGTTTCAGGTAAATTACTTTGAGTTTACATAACTGATCAAAATGCCCAGATTTATAGGCATATACACAACAGTAACTTTCATATCAATGCATTAAAAGTAATGTGTAGATGTGTTTAATCATATTAAAAATTGAAACTAGTCAATAGGAAATTGAAAAAAAAGGCAATTGCCTTATACTTATATAATTTTATATAACTGAAAATAAATGGAATATTGCTACATGAAACAACATAATATTAATTAAAACATATAAGAAGTAAAAATTAGATACTAGATTATTACAGTCACATAAAGTTCAAAAGAATGAAAACGAGTCCATAAAAGTATAATTAAGTATTATAGTTATATTAAGAAAATGTGATTAGATATGTATAGTCTTAATGTTATTTTCTCTAAATTTATGTGGTGGTTGCATAGTTATATTAACCTTTTGATAATTCACTGAGCTTCTCACATAAGATTTTGCGCTCTTTTTTATGTTTGCTATACCTCAATTTAAAACATTGATTTAAACAAAGTAACAGTACACAAATTTATCCTCTGTATTATTAAACATTATTTGAAGTTATACGTCTAAAGTATGTATTTTTAAAACTTCCATGAATTTAATTATTTGTTGGTGAAATTTTAAAATTAAGGCAGCATCTGTCTGATTTACAGAAATAACAAATCTATTATTTTGGGTAAATTGGTTCAGTAGCTAAATTGCCAAAATATCCTGGTGTCTTTTCCAAAGCATTCTAAAACATTTCATTATGTAAAAGCCAGCCATATTACATTTTTCCAGAAAGTCAATGTTATTACCTTAAATATGCCTTTTTAGGTAAATAAATTATACTTAAAGGAAGTTATTGAAAATGAAAGTACAATGAAAGTAATTTTTGTGGCAAACAATATTAAAAAGAAGTGATTTTTTCGGAAATGATGCAAAATGAATAAATATGTACCTTTTATTTTGCTTCAAAATTTAAACTTCAGTAATAGTTATTTTTAAATTAACTTCTATAACGTTGATAATTTAAATATTTTAAACGTTTGCCCATGGACTTTAATAGAAAAATTTCCATAGAAATATGAAATTGTCTTTGTGTAACTAGTGTCATAATTCTGAAGTTGTAATAAAATACATTATTTTCAGTGTCATAATTCCAAGTTAAGATGTTTATACAGTTGAAGAAGAGTTATTTATTTGTTCAGAAATTTTAGTTAAGACAAATGGATAAACTTAATGTTCAGTGCAATTCAGTTTCAATGTTAACATGTATTAATTAAATTCTTATTTACCTGAATTTTATATATATTGACTAAATTATTCTTCCTGGAAACCTTATGAATTTGAATTAGAAGCTTTTATTGTCTTCATTAGAAACTGAGACTTGGAGGAATTAAATAACTTGCTTCAAGTTACCCAACTTGGAAAGAGAACTGCTTTCTGAACCCAAGCTGTTTGACATTGAACAAAAATCTAACAGCACATCAAAAGGATAATAAACCACAGTCAACTGGATTTTATTTCAACGATACAAGGATGGTTCAACACATACACAAATTAATAAACGTGATGCACCACATAAACAGAATTAAAAACCAGAATCCAGATGATCACCTCAGTAGATGCAGAAACAGCATCTGATAAAATTTAGAATTCCTTCATGATGAAAAGCCTCAACAAACTAGTCATAGAAGAAAAATATCTCAATACAATGAAAGCCACATAAAACGAACCCATGGCCAACAGCCTCCTGAATGAGAAGAAGTTAAAAGCATTCTCCCTAAGAATTCAAAACAAGAATTCCACTTTCACCACTGCCACTTTCACCACTCCCAGTCAACTGGCAGTCCTGGACACAGTAATCAGGCAAGAGAAAGAAATACAAGGCATCCAAATTGGAAAAGGGGAAATCAAATTATCTCTGGAGAAAGAACACCCTATTAAAAAGTGGGGCTGAGAAAATTGCATACCCATATGCAGAAGAATTAAAATGGTCTCATGCCTCTCACCATATACAAAAATTAACCCATTATGGGTTAAAAACTTAAATATTACACCTGGAATTATAAAAATGCTATAAAAATTTTTAAGATAGACTCCTGGACATTGGCCTAAGCAAAGATTTCATGAATAAGACCTCAAAAGCAAATGAAACAAAACAAAAACAGATAAATGAGACTTAACTAAACTGAAAAGCTTCTGCACAGCAAAAGAAATGATCAGTGTGGAAAACAGATAACCTACAGAATGGGAGAAAATACTTGTAAACTATGCGTCCAACAAAGTACTAGTTTCCAGGATCTATAAGAAACTAAAACAATTCAACAGTAATAAAAATCATCATTAAAAATGCACAAAAATCACAAGTAGACATTTTTCAAAAGAAGGCATACAAATGGCCAAAATGCATATGAAAAAAATGTTCAATATTAATAGCCATCAGAAAAATTCAATTAAAACCACACTGATACCATTATACTCCAGTCAAAATGGCTGTTACTAACAAGTCAAAAAATAACAGACATGAGTGAGGATGTGGACAAAAGAGACATTTCTCAAAAGAAGACATGTAAATTGCCAACAGGTTAATGGAAAAATGTTTAACATCACTTATGATCAGAGAAATGCAAATTAAAATCACAATGAGATATCACTTCACTCCAGTTAGAATGGCTATTTATCAAAAGACGAAAGAAAGCAAGTATTGGTGAGGATATGGAGGAAGAAGGACACTTACGCACTGTTGGTGGGATAGTAAATTAGCACTTCAACTATCAAAAGCAGCATAGAGATCCCTAATACAAATTACAGAGAGGACTGCTATATGATCCAACAATCTACTACTGGATATATAACCAAAAGGAAAAGGAAAAAAAATCAGTATGTCAAAGAGATATCTGCACTCATATGTTTACTGTAGTACTATTTACAACATATAAGATATGAAATCAACCCATGTCCAACAATTATAAAAGTATAAAGAAAACGTAATATATTTAACACAATGGAATACTATTCAACATTTAAAAATAATAAAATTCTGCAACTTACAACAACATAGTTGGACCTATAGGGCATCCTGTTATGTGAAATAACCAGATACAGAAAAACAAATACCAAATTATTTTAATCATGTGGAATTATAAAAAGGATAAACGGTTGATATCATAGAAGCAGATATTAGAACAGTGGTCTGGAGTCTGGGGAGGGGGGAAGGGTAGCGATAGTGGAGAGAGGTTGGTCAATTGGTACCAAGTCATTCAAAACAATTAGATGGGATAAGTAAAATCTGGTGCCTTTTCAACAACAGGTGATGATCAATAACAGTAAGCATTGTATATTACAAAATAGCTGGAAGAGAGAATTTTGAATGTTTTTTACCATAAAAAAGGAAACACGTATGAGGAAACATAACATATACTTAATACCCTGATTTGATCATTACATTACGCAACATATGTATCAAAGCATCAAATTGTACCACAGACATGCTTCAATTTTTAAAAATAAAATGTTGCAATGTCATAATATTTTATATGGACAATGGTGGAATATTAATGGTCCTCTTAGGTTCAATAAAACACATTTGAACATCAGATGCTACTTTTAATGCCCTTCTTTCACCTTATAATAAAAACTTTTCCTCATCTATATATTATCCTGCTCAGCTATTTTTGGTTTTGGCCATTGCATTTTACTATTACTTTATCCAAGGAAGAATCTAATTTTGCTCAAATGTGTTAATTGACATAATATTAAAATGTAAGGTTCATTCCAATTCTGACATCATTATACAAAACAAAAAAAGCCATAATATATATAAACACTAACAAAATGAAATGAAATCATTAGAGTTAAATTTTAACAAAGAAAATAATCATACTCAATAAAATATATAATGTTTTTAGTACCAATTAAGGTATTCACCATTGAAAAGAAACAATTTGTTTGACTCTTAAGTTATTCAAAATACTAATAAATTAATGTAGGCTAGAAAAAAAATCACATAATTTGACAGCTACCATTGTTTGGACACTAAAGATAGCATAAAACTCACTACTTCATTGAAAGCGATTGTGCATGTGTAATTGATAGGAAGTCTTATTTCCTTTTAAGGTTTGCCATCTTGTTACCATAACTTGATTGATTGATTGGTTAATTAATCCGTTTTGAATGCATCTATTTTGCCAAGCTATAGTACTGAGCCCTTGTTTCGTGTCATGGTGTATTATGTCTGAAATATAATAGTGACCATGATATAACTTTTGCATTATAGGGAATAAAAAAAAGTATATGTCAATAATGAGATAAAGGTTATAACAGAAATATATAAAGACATAGGAACACTTGATAACAAAAACTCACCAACTAACTCATAAACTATTCTGGGAAAGCAGACTCAAATGAAGACTATGGCTTATTTAGGTGAAGATAAAATGTAAAAAGACAAGATCCACAAAGGGCCAAAGTTGAACAACGCATAGATTTAAGTAAGAAGTAAAAGACTCAGGATGGCCAGAGTGTTTATCATTCATAAAAATATAAGGATGCTTGCTGGCCACATAAATGTCTTCTTTTGAGAAGTGTCTGTTCATATACTTTGCCCACGTTTTGATGGGGTTGTCTGGTTTTTTTCTTATAAATGTGCTTAAGTTCCTTGTAGATCCTGGATATTAGACCTTTGTCTGATGCGTAGATTGCAAAAATTTTCTCCCATTCCCTAGGACAACTGTTCACTTTGATGATAGTTTCTTTTGGTATGCAGAAGCTCTTTAGTTTGATTAGATCCCATCTGTCTATTTTGGCTTTTGTTGCAATATCTTTTGGTGTTTTAGTCGTGAAGTCTTTTCCTACGCCTATGCAGCAATAAAAAAGAATGAGTTCTTGTCCTTTGCAGGGACATGAATGAAGCTGGAGGCCATCATTCTCAGCAAACTAACACAGGAACTGAAAACCGAGCACTGCATGTTCTCACTCATAAAAGGGAGCTGAACAATGAGAACACATGGACACAGGAAGAGGAAACATCGTACACTGGGGCCTGTCAGAGGGTGGGGGCAAGGAGAGGAATAGCATTAGAATAAATACCTAATGCATGCGGGGCTTCAAACCCTGATGACGGGCACCATGGCACATGTATATTTATGTAACAAACCTGTACATTCTGCAAATGTATCCCAAAATTTAAATTAAAAAGAAAAAAAATTTAATTTAATTTAATTTAATTTAATTTTAATTTAAAAAGAATATGAGGATGCATCATTCAGCATTTGTGTTTGAAATGCTCTTGTGGGCAATGTTAGACTCTTTGGGCTTTATTCTAAGAAAACTATCAGGACTTTAAAAGACACTGAGCAACACAATGAAATAATGAAAATCACTGTTTGGAACGTTACTTTAGCTGCAGTGTGGAAAACCAACAGGAGAAAAACAGGACAGGAATTGGGTAAAATTTAGGAAATAGGATGACTGTGGTAGCTGAAATGAGTGTATTTGAAGGAAGGATAAATAGACATCCAGATTTTTGAGAAATATTTAGGAGAATGATGAAAAGCTTGATTAATTGGATGTGAGGGGGAATTATAGAAAATACCCAGGTTTTTTTTCCTGGGTAAATTCAACTTGGACTTATATATAGTTTTTAAACATGCTGACTACATCTTATTTCTCTTTCATATTTCTCTTCAACTAAATGTATGGACACACTTGTATCTATATCTGATCTTATCAGCCTTAGTTGTCAACACTAAATGTTGACAACAGCTTTATTATTTTATAATGTGGTTTCAAGACCATTTGTATCTAAATACAGATTAGTGTGTTAATGACCTTTAAAAACTGCAGTAACTTAAATGTAAAATATTACTGTAATGTAAATTCACTAACTCAAAACGTAAAAAAGATGAAGTGGTAGTTTTAATATTTAGGAAAAATTGAAACTGTATGGTGGTTTAAATACTTTTAAGAGGCCAGGCATGGTGGATCACACCAGAATTTGAGGATGAGTTGATCACTTGAGGTCAGAAGTTCAAGAGCAGCCTGGCCAACATGGTGAAACCCCAGCTCTACTAAAAACACAAAAATTAGCCAGGCGTGGTAGGATGGGACTGTAATTCACCTACTCTTTTGGCTGAGGACCAAAATTGCTTCAACCTGGGAGGCTGAGGTTACAATGAGCAGAGATTGTTCCACTGCACTCCAGCCTGGATTACAAAGAGAGACCTTCTCTCAAAAAGAAAAAAAACTTTTTTTTTTTTAAAGAGTTGTGTGAAGGAAGAAGATAAATATTTTTAAAGACTATATCATACACTTTCCTCAAATAACACTACTAATGATTTGGTACCAATCCTGTATTAATAAATCCTCAATCATTATATATATATAATCTTAGTTAATAATTTGGTTAATTTTTACATTCACACACTAATAATTAACAAATACATTTCACCTTTTAGAATAATAAAACATTACAGTTAAGAATAAAATCTGCTTTTAACAATCAACCTTTATCTTTTTTAATGAATTAGCTCAAAGAATGTGTGTGTGTGTGTGTGTGTGTGTGTTCGTGCACTTCTACATACACACATACAGTATAAAGTAATATGAAACATTTAATGCTATATATACTCATAAATATTTATACATATAGATATATATGTGTCTATATATGTGTGGATGTTTGTATATAATCTTCCAAAATGAAGATAAAATATTTGTGCATGATTCAAAAGTAATTTGAAAATTGCTTTATTTTCACAAATATGCCTAGTAATCTATACATGAGTACACATAATTCTCAGTCATTTCAAATTATTTCTATTTTATGACATAAGTATATTACCATATTGCACCTTCTGATTTATGTTGAGGCTTACCATTTATTTTCAGTACAAATATAGATTTTTTTAATTTTATTGACCA